TGCGGAAACTTCTCGAAAATATTTATCTACATATGGATTAATTTATAAACAGACAAAACCTACATCAAAAAATGTAAGGTAGAATGTAAAAAAAAAAAAAATTATATCTCCTATATCTACAACTGCCTAAACTTCCTTGTTATCAAGCTAAACAATGGAGATGTATCCTGTCACTTAACCTTGCTTTCAGAACTTTTACATAGTCTTTTTCAGGTGTATCTTTCAAAATGACAAATACATATGATCAAATTGTTTGAATTTAGCAATTATCTAACTTCATGTTCGATGAAACAGCTTTTTAACTGATACTCATTTAATGATGGTTAAAGAAAGGAGCCATTCGCATGATTTAGGTCCTTGGTGCCTTTAACGAAGGGTCAAAATCTCTTTTTATGCAGAGCTGACATTTTTCTACCATAAATTTTAAGTTGACTCCACATTATTCTTCACATTATTCCTACCTGCTCTTCATACTTGCTGTTGGTCTCCTGCATCTCCACATAGTCCATCTTCAGTCTCTGTATCGCCTCCTCACGCCTCTTCACCTGAATACACATAGGAGACATAAAATTCTTGGATTCATATGTTAACAATCTGTATCATTTTATTTTTTTATTTCAAGAAGGAAAGGCAGACCATTAATAATATACTAAGATAATGCCATTTAACTATATTAAGCTGACCTTTTTTAATCTCTTTATCTTTGTCTGTATACAATAACAACAACAACAACAATAACCACAATAATACACTATGCAAGGCAACTGTTTTTCATTCTTCTACTTAAAAGAAAAAAAAAAAAACAAAACCTTAAACTTATCCATATATAATGAAATTCAATAATTTTTCTATATTTTTGTCATCAATATAACACAGACAATCTTCTACATCTTTATCCCACTGAGAGAAGAAATTGCTCACCTCAGCAGACAAGACGTCCTTGTCACTCTGTGCGTTGATGGCAAACGCCTGCACCCTGGCCTCCAGGCGGCCATTTTCCTCCACAGCCTCCTTGTACTGCTTGCGGACAACATTCAGGTCGTTCTCCAACTGCTGGACTGTGATGTCGCGCCTTGACAGCTAAAATATACACATTTAGAAAACTAATTAACAATTTGACCATTTAATCCAAATCTATGTAAATAAACATTTTATTCACAATTTATGCAAATCTTGATGTTAACCAAATCAATTCAATAAAATATTCTACACGTGGTCTTTAGCATATATGCATTATGTCTAAATTATGTAACTAAGTACAAAAGAAAAAAAAAAAAACTTTAACAAATTGCATCTGTGTTGTCCACCTTTTTGACCTATAATATGGGTAAAAGGAATTTCATTTCAGTATCTTGACTACTCTCTCTATACATAATTTCTTTATCTCTGAGATTATTTTTTATCACTTGAGAAATATTCAGAATAAAAGTTTTCAGCAGACGTCACTCACATCATCCTTTAATCTCCTGCTCTCTTCTTGAGCATTCATCAGGTTCACCTCCATCTTGTGTATCGTCTGCTCCTTCCTGGCCACCTCATCCTGGACCCCCTGGAGCTGGGTCTGTAGACCCCGGATTGCCTCCTCCTTGCCTAGGATCTGGAGACAGCCAAAAGATAGATTACAAATAATAACTGTCATTTTTCCTCATCGTACATTAGCTTGTGTAATTCAACCAAGATCCTTGAATACAAGTCATCTGACATCCCATGGAATACATGAGAGGTAAGCGACATCAGCTGTCATTAGCCATCCATGAATAGGGACAGGGGGCCGATTTACCCAACAATTACTACAGGGTCCTGGCTGCTATTTCACCTAGCGGTCATTAAGTAACAACATCTACTCATGTCAGTCTGATGAAGGCTTTTGGCCAAGGAGGATGCAAGCTAATGGGGAGGAAATTTTTTTCCAGTTTGTATCAAATAGTTGTGATTTGTACTCAAATACCATTCAGAAGAAAGACTGTTTGAAAAGAATTAAAACAAAAATTTCGATTGGTCTGAATTTTTTTAGACCAGACNACAAAAATTTCGACTGGTCTGAATTTTTTTAGACCAGATTTGAACTTTTGACCAATGTACACAGTAACTGCATAAACGTCACATGCATTCAACACCTACTTTAATTAAAAAGCAACTATTTCAAGGATTTCCTGTTCTGCTTTTCTGAAACCCTTCCTGTTTACCTGTTCACTGCCTTGTTGGTGCTTGTCCTTAAGTGACAGTATATCAGCCTGTAGCTTGGTGATGAGGTCCTCCTTCTCGGCGACCTCTGACCTGTAGATAGTGTCCTGTTGACTGAGGGTTAGATCCTTCTCCTGAACCTCTGTCTCCAAGCGGTCAATCTGAAACGATTAAAAAGTTTTAAAAATGACCCACCAGATGGCAACTTGGGACACACCCTCCAGCCTTTGACTTGTAACGGCACAGTTGAAGTTTAAAGGAAAGCAAAAGCTACCAAACAAACATAATTGATACAAATATTGACATTTTTTTCATTTTTCTCTGTGAACTGTTTTTTTTTTCTTTTCCCACAATTTGACATTTGCTAAAAATGTGTTCAAACTGTTTTCAAACTCTCTGTTTCTTTCCCCCTTTTTTCTTTGTGAAGTCTTAGTTTTCAGAACCAATGTTGGAATACCAATTATGATTTCTTTCACCATACTTGTCTAAGTTGTTCCTGATACTTCTGCTCCAAGCTCTGCAGTTCTTTCTCAATTACTGTCTTCCTTTCCTGGCTCTCTGAGCCCCGTCTCCCAGTTTCCTTTAGCTCCTCTCTCAGTTGCTTTATGACCTCTCCCCTGTGGTGAGCCGTGGCCAGCGCCTCGCTGTGTTTGTCTTCCAGCGTTCTCGTCTCAGCTTTCAGTTTCATCACAGCATCGTGTCTCTCAGCAACCTGTAGGGGTGGCATTGGAATGAATATATATAGCTGGACAGCAAACTAAGAAACACAAGATAGTGACTTTAATGGACATGAAGATCATATAAATATGACATTTATCTACCAACACACACTATACTTTATAATAATTTTACCAAAATATATTATAATTATTTTTCAGTGAACATATGGGTCACAATTCTCTTATTATCTCAATGAAAAATTGAAATATTGATCTTTCCCGGCCTGTCATTATGTCAATTTTCATTTTCGAGATAATAGTTAACACAATCACTGTCCTTCGTGCCCAAATGCAACCTATGCTTTAGAGTGCAGCAATGATACCCAACTAAACAATGCTTACCTCAGTAATCAAAACTAATATCTTACCCCACTCATCTTGGCAGTCATATCTAACACAATCACAGTCCACCTCAGCAGCCATATCTAACACAATTACAGTTCACCTCAGCAGTCACATCTACCACAATCTTTGCTCACCTCAGCAGTCCCATCTAACACAATCACAGTTCACCTCTGCAGTCACATCTTACACAATCACAACTTACCTCAGCAGTCACATCAAACACAATCACAGTTCATCTCTGCAGTCCCATCTAACACAATCACAGTTCACCTCTGCAGTCACATCTAACACAATCATAGCTCACCTCAGCATTCACATCTAACACAATCAGCACAATGTCCCACCCAATGACCATTCTTACCTCAGCGGTCAAAGCGTCCCTGGTGTCCTTAGAGGAAGCCTGCAATTTGTCCAAGCTTTCTTGTAACTTGTCAATCTGGACAAAGCAGAGATTAGAACCACCAATTAGTAACTTCTCATGCAGTTAGTAGAGCAAGCTTAGCCTAGCTCAGCCCATGGTTAATTAGTCCCTAAGAGCTATCTGATAATAACATGTGCTCCCCCTTTTACCATGATAACATGAATGTTTGCTTTTTGTATCCCAAGAGCTTTGTGTGCATTTCATAAAAAATGCAACATTTATTATTAATGAAACTGTTTAAAAGTAGTTTAATCTTGTTGACAAACATATTACAAGTGTGGATTTTAAGAATTTCTGACAGAATGTTGAGTAATCTCATGTAAACTTCCGCACAGATAAAAAAAAAATTTGGCAATACAGAAATAATTTTGTTCAAAAGTTAAATGGGTTTCATTTTTGAAAAATCTGTGAAATGACTGAAAATAATAGAAAGAGCAGACTAATGCTCAAAAAAGTAAATATTTCAAAATGTACATCATCTTATAATATAAAAGCAATGTGGGTGACCATGGTTAAACTGTCATTATGCTTGAATAGCAGACAACAACACTGCTAATCATCTGGAATTTAGTCAATTCACATACACCCACTATCACAGCAGGAAATGGTTCAATAACATGGACAAGTATAACAGGGATGAGACTGCCATTTAGTGATATTTTTAGTTCCTAGAAGTCAGAAATGCACCTATTGTCATCCCTGCTTTTACAGAAAATAGATTTTTTTTGCATTATGCAGATAGTAATGTTTGCCTCAGAGAGAGAGAAAAAAAAAAAAACTTACGAAATCACAGATCAATGGAAGTTCTCCCATGACAATAACAAAATACTTGTTTAAAGCTTGAAGTCATATATATTTATATATAGGATTCCCTGTATGATTCCCTGACAACCAAATAAAAGCAAAGGTTTTAGGTAATATTAAATGTCACTTGAAACAATCTCTTGAGGGCCAATAATGAAAAGAAGCAATTTCCCCCCAGCTGTGCTCAGACATGCCATTTTACATGAGCTGGATGCTGGCTGTATTCCTGGTGGTGTAAGCCATGCTGTCGTCATTATCACATATAATGAGAAACCGGGCGAAAGGGACATCATCATGACATATGACAGATCTTTTACAGTCAACCATGTTGGTACTTTCTGAACTGCTCACCTTTTTTTTATTTTTTTTTTTAACGTGCCCATAGACAGAGACTGCCAAATATCAGCATAAAGGAAATTACGGATAACTGGTGGGTAAATTTAACATCTCACTGACAGATATTTAGGAAACATCCTCTCAAAAATAAATAAATAAATAAATAAATAAAATAAATAAATAAATATATA